CCTATTTTGATGGATGTTTCATTAACTTTAATGTTGAGAGCAAAGTTTGCTTTAACTTTAATTGTTTAGGGTTCAAAATATACCTTTTCAAAGTATATAATTAAAATCGCTTCTAGATATATAGTTCAGGTTTCAAATTACTTATTGACCCGATTTTGATATATTGATTACTTGACCATTATTGTTTGATTATACTCGGTTGAGAGAATTGATGGTTGTATGTTGAAAATGTCATCATATACTGTGGCATTGCCACACCTTAGAAGCTCAGTAGCTGGTCTCTTATTAAGACTTCAATTAGTACTATTCGATCCTTTGATGATAAGTCCTTAGAACAATTAATTATGATATCTCTCTAGTCTAAGGTGTTTGAGAGCGAATTCATGATTCGGTTATGAGCTCTATAGCCTTTGACCGGGCTATACCTCCCGATTGGAGAGGTAGCTCATAAGTTAATTAGTTAGAGAAGATAAGCTCAGAGGTTATAAGGAAAGACTGTAGTTATCATGAATTCTTATTATGTGATTTTATGATTGCTTTAAAAAAAATCACATATGTACTTTGCCAACTTGTGATCCATTTCCTGCATACTGGTATAATTAACTATATTGATTATATTTTCATACATCGTCTCACATTATAATTTCTATTAATTAATTTTTAAGAGAGTGTTCCAGTAGTTGTGAAGGGAAGATTATATATGGAAGCTTAAGGTTCAGTAGTCTCCTCCTTTTTGTTTGCATGTACTGCTAATATTATATGTTGTCATTTTAGGGCCATATCATACTCATGACTTTTGACGATTTATTGTATAATTGATTGACACTGGAGAGTGTTGTTAGTTGTAGCCAGGGGCCTTAGGGCCATACCTTGAATGCGAATTTTTATTATTAATGACGAAGGAGAAATTATATATTGGGATTGGCATGAGATTCTATATCGTGACTTGTGAATGTGGACTTCGGTTTGAGTATATCATGGGCTTTTGGAAGATTGTATAATTTGAGCCTTAACATTCCCTGGCCCAATTTTTGTTTTTTTGGCTGTGTGCTATATGTTCAATGGTCGTGTATGGCTTTCATTTTTAACGTCAATTCTTTTGTAATAATAAGGGTGTTATAGTGGTTTTAAAAGTATAAATAATTCTTTTTTCAATCATGGCAGTCTTTTAAATGTTATTTTAATTCTTCTTCTTCTTCTTCTTTTTTTACTGTGGTTGACGTTTATTAAATATGTTAAATTCTATTTAATCACCTTAGACATTTTGATTATGAGCTTTTGTTCTTTTCTATTATGATTAGTTGTTAATTATTGGTTTTAATTCTTTTCTACCATAAGAAAGTGATTTAATAGTTTTCTTCTTTTCTACCATCGTAGAGTAATTTACTTATTTATTAAAAAAATAATTTTATTCATGAAATATGTTAAGCTTATGGTGCAAGAATTTAGGTGTTGCATCATTCCACAAAATGACATAAAGCAAAGGCTAAGAAAGCAAATTGACTCATAAATTATAAGTCCAAAAGCGTTTAAAATTCTAAACTCATTTTTAATACAATATTTCCTTTTAACTTTTGAACCTAACTTATACCATTAATAAAAGTTAACTTTAGCTATTAATTGATCAAAAAATGACCCAAAAATTATAGTAAATAACTTAAAAATTATAAAAAAATAACCATGAAAATTTTATTGGTCCAATTTTTATAATTTTTGAGGTCTTTTTTCATTATTTTCTAGTCAACTAATGGTCAAAATAACTTTTGTTAATATGGGGGTAGATTGCACTGTTTTCAAAGGGAAATATTGTACAAAAAATGATGGGTAAATATAACTTTTGGTCTCTATACTTTACTCACATTTTGCTGTTAGTCTCTATACCTTTCTTGGTGTTTCAAGTCATTTTTCATTAGTTTGAATTCTTTCAAGATCCCTATATTTTAATCATAAAAAGACCGAAAATAATAAAAAATAAAAGTACATAGACCTAAAACATCAGAAAAAAAGTATAGGAACTAAAAACAAAACGCAAATAAAGTACAGGAATCAAAAGTTATATTTATTCAAAAATAATTTTGGAGTTCTAAACACTTTTGGACAGGGCAGTTTGCTTTTTACTCTAAAATAAAACACCAAATCCTTCTAGAGTTAAATAAATTGACTTCCTCTATATTTCACTTTAATTACATATACTTCCCTTCTATTTTTGAAACTTACACCAACCTCCCCTAGAATTAATAGTTATAAAATACAAATCTCCCTTCTACTTTTAAGACTTAATTGTCATCCACCCAACCATTGGTTAAACATTAAGTCATATATATTGGATTGAAATACCCCTATTTAAACATAAATGTTCTTTGAAAATCATTCAAGTCACAAAAAAATTGACAAGCAAAGGGAATTGAAGTTATTTTCTGTTTAACTTAACAAGCAGTGGGTAATGATAACACAACAAAGGGAAATGACAAATTACATATAGGCTATTGACAAGTAAAAAATTATGAATTTATTTTTCATTTAAATTGACAAGGAACAGATAATAACAACACAACAAAGAGAAATGACAACTTACGTACAAGATATTGACAAGTAAAAGTTTTTAAAGTTATCCATTTAAATTAACAAAGTAATGGGTAATCACAATATGGCTAAGGGAAATAACAACTTATGCATAAGACATTGACAAGTAAAAAATTTATGTACTTATTTGCCATTTAAATGGCAACCTAATAGGTAATGATAACACGGTAAAAGAAAATGGCAACTTACGTATAGGTATTGATAAGTAAAATTTTATAGAGTTACATCTGTTGTTTAAATTGACAAGGTAATATGTAATGACAACATGTCAAACAAAAATGACAACTTATGCATACGGTGTTAACAAGTAAAAATTGATGAAATTATTTGCCATTTAACTTGGTCATTAGTTTTTGCCATGTTGTCAATACCTATTGTCAAATTATCAATAGGGTATTTTTAACATGAAATTCTTTCACCTAGTAAATTGTTATATATACAAATGGCTTAGATAACTTGTCAATAACTATTGGTCACTTGTCAATCAATGTTAGCCACTTGTTAATATGTGATAAACATGCAATTATTATTCATAATATATTAAAATATTTTTGTTATCACCATTCATATTAGCATTTACAAAATAAATGAGTCTAAAAATTTCCTAGCATGCCAAAAGAGGTAAGTGCATAAACTTCTATCCTAGAGTCAATCTATGACTAAATTAGCCCCTTGATCTTTTAATCAGGGGTGGAGATGAGAGGAGCAGTAGGGGTCATGGCTGACCCTTCTAACTTTTTAATTTTTTTAATAAACTATAAGAATTATATATTTTGGACCCCTAAGTTGACACATGATAAAAATCTTAAGACACTAGATGGAATTTTTATTTTAATTTTATATTAGTTTTTTATTGACGGGAAAATTTTTAAAAATTTTATAGTAGTCATGATAATTAATTATTATTATTATTATTATTATTATTATTATTATTATTATGCCATAAAAAATGAGCAAAATTTAAAAAATGAAGATATATATTTATTTTTATTATATATATGTAATATTAAATATAAATATATAGGTTGAAATATTTATGATATTATGTTATTGATGTATATAGATTTAATTTTCTTTGAATTATCATAAATGCTTTGTTATTTCAGCCCTCCAAACAAAATTTTTCTGGCTTTGCCCCTGATCTTCCTTATCCACAAAAACCAATCTCTTCAGACATTATCATATTTCCATGCATGTAAAGCTTTCGTATTAGGGTTCCAAGCTTTTGCCTTTCTTATACACAGATCAAATTCAATAATACCTTAACTTTGAATGGCTTTACACTTGTCAAATGGCATCAAACAAATGATAATTATAGAACCCATAAACAAATTGCCATTAAAAAGTAGCCAGGGTAAAAAAAAAAACATTAAGAATCACAGAACTGAAGTAGAAAATTAAACTTATAACATGTATGATATAAAATTTGTGTTTCTGGTTAAAAGAAGAAGAAGAAGAAAGTATTAGGAAAAACGGAACGTGAAAAAGGATAAACATGAGGAGACAAAGCCAATGCACCTAAATCTTGAATGCAGCTAGTCAAACAAATTTTCGAAATAGTAAATCAATGTTATTGAAATTTCGCTGACTTCAATTTTTCCATCACTTTTTCATGAATAAGAAATGAAACATGCATGTTGTAATTAGTGTTTTACAAATTTCTACTGGTCATGCATACAATGAAGTGCTTGAATTATATAAACTCATTCTATCCATTAAATTCAAAGACAGAAAACCTCAAAAAAAAAAAAAAATTCATATGGAAGGAGGTTATTTTTAGATTCATTGGGCTAAACGTAAAGTGTTGACCTGCAAAGAATAGTCGGATTGAGAACATCAAAACATTGATTAGAATCAAGATGAAAAATGAAAGGATATTCCCAAAAGCATTCTTGATGGAGTTACGCTGGAAGCGTTGGCGGTCGCCATTGGCAACCAGCTTGGGCTCAGAGAGAGAACGGGAGGGAGGGACAAGAACAATAAGAAGAAGACGGGTTTCTGAGAGTTCCTCAGAAGAATAAGGAAGATGCAAAGAAAGAGAGAGGAAGAGAAATGGGGCTAGTGGGAATATACATTTCAGTGCGTTTCATATTACAAATTAGGGCTTTTTAGTTGATTCACATAAAGAACGTCTAAGTTCCTTAGGACCTAATAGATATTTGGTGTTTCTATAGCACTTTTGCGTATTTTCTATGGGATTTCATGGTAATTTTCCCTTATTTTAAATAGATTTAACTAATGGCTTTGTTAAGTTTTATTGGACTCTGTTGATCATAATTCTATCAAGCTTTAAAATTGTCTTTTGTTTTGAATTATTTGGATTCGATGTTCATATTGTAGGCTCTATATAAGGCCACAAGCAATTCTCCTGTAGTTATACTTGAACACTTTCTTTGATAATAAAGACATTTTTCTCTGATTTTCTACAAGTTTTTATACTCCAATAATAATGATCTAGGCCATTAACCAACATAGAATCTTTAAATGCAACATTCAAGACAAAAAAAGGATAGTGAAAAATGCTTTATTAAGGCCTAGAAAATGGAGAAAAACAGCATTACATCTATATATAATTTTGTGATCTCAAAAAATATGCATTAGTAAACATAACAAACCACTGCATAAGCAAGGAAATGGACGACTATTTTAACACTATTATTGTTGGCTCCTTCAATAATTTAGATCCTCTGAAAAGGTTATTTTTGGCCATTCAGGTCCTCTAAAATTAAAGATATGTGAGGGTGGTGAAGATGAATGCAAAGTACCAATATTATAAATGCAAAGCTTAATGTGCAAAAATGTTTATAAACTTTTTCTTTAAGAACTTCTAATATTTTGAAGTCAACAATGATATACGGAAATCTATTAATTTTATAAAAGAGACCAACCTTCCTCAATCCGTTAAAATAGCCTAAATTGACTGTTAAGATTAACCTCTTTTATAAAATTAATAGTTAATCATGCATCATTACTGAGTTAAAAATATTAGAAACTCATAAAAAAAAATTTACAAGTATTTTTGTACCTTAACCCTAAGTTAACTATAGATGGTCTTGCATACTAAGAGAAGGTGAATGTAGAGTACTTGTACCTTGCGTTCTACTTCAACAACTTCACATATCATCAATTTTAGAGGATTTAAATTACGCCATCGTCTAAAAGTTGCTCAGCTTTCCACAATCAAAATCAGACGCCTTTAATAGAAAACCAGCTAAAATTGGAGTAAAAAATTTGTCTCTAAAAAAGGAGACCAATTTGGATTGACCTTGCTGAATAACACCAGTCATATAAGCTGCAGATATGATAATAATGCTTCTCCATCTTCTCTCATTAGCATATTTCTTCAAGCTCATCTCAATTTTCTTATATTGTTCCTCTTCTTCTTCTTCATTATCCTTCTTTCTAATATCCCTGCTGGATTTCATGGAGAAGACCTCGCCGAGACACCGAGCTAAAACTATCCCGTCTTCTAAAGCACAACAACCACCTTGGCCAAGATCAGGGGTCATAGGGTGGAATGCATCTCCAGCAACACACACATTGCTTTTATTGATATTACCAAACACTAGCTCCCAAGGATGTCTATATCTCAATGGAGATGATAAGAAATGATCCAAATCAGTATTTTCTATAAAGGCTCTAATATCACTTGGCATATTCTTTAGCTTCTCTAACACAAATTGCTTCATTTGAGCTGGGTTCTCTTCTAGCTTCTTTTCTACAAGGCAAGTCAAGTGAAAGAGTATGTATTACATTTGCATCTATTAATTTAAACAAGTGTTAGACTTGGGCATATAGTTAATGATAGGTTACAAAATAGGTGTTTTAGAAGATAATCCTAATCTTACGAGAGTTTCTCAAGTGATCATTGCTCAGTAATTAGCTAACCAATGCAGAGTTATAAGCTTGCTCATATTAATGCAGTAATGGATAATGAATATTGGCATAAATCATATATGATGTATTTGAAGAAAAAAAGAAAAAAGAATTCAAGAGGAATTTGGCTTATCTTCATCTTGATTTTGGCATATCAGTGTCAAGTAGCAAGATTCATGCATAGTGAAAAAAAAATAACTATATTTTTTCCATGATTTATTTAAAAAAAAAAAGAATTCAAGAGGAATTCAGCTTATTTATATCTTCATTTTGGTATATCAGTGTCAAGTGGCAAGATTCATGCATAGTAAAAAAAAAAAAACATATTTTTTCTATGATAAGAGCTCTTGAAAGCTAATATGCTACAGGATGGTATATATCCTTGGAAGAATCACATTCAAGAATCACTCAAGCAAATTCTTCACAGATAAGGCCTAACGATAAGCCCTATTTGAGAAAAAACAAGTCACGTCCCCATTTTAACAACAATCCATGCTGCATTGATCCTTATCTATGAATAATTTCCTTAGATGGTTCTTAAATGTGATTCTCCCTACATTCTTTTATGCCATGAAATCTTGTATAGTAAAAAGAAATATTCCTCTAGTTCTTTTGATAAATCATTTTCAATATGTTTTACTAGAATTAAGAAAAAGTTTAAAACTTCTTAACTCTATATAAACATCTAATAAGTTTCCAACTTTACCTCCATTAAATGTAGGGACAAAAAAGGAAAAATTATAATAAAAAATTAATAACATGACTTATAAATATGACCAAAAAAATTTCTCCTCTGCCTTATAAATAAAATCAAAGGGAGGATAATTTTATCAAATGTTTCAAGGAATAATAATATAAACTATTATTCTGTTTCTGTTAGTCATGAAGGATTCACCTTGACATGTAGGAGTCCAATTAAAGAACCAATGAACTGTCTTGTCATCACAAGGCATAACACCATTTCTGTAACCCTTTCCAAAAAACTGCATAAACAAAGGTTCAAGTTTGTGACTATTCTTTAATGTAATGCACCCTCTAATTCCAAATCTGCCAGAGAAGGCAGCCTTGTTCAACCCAAGCCACTTTGCTACTATTGAGTTCACTCCATCACATCCAATGAGTACCTGCTCTCAAAGTCGCGAACAATGACACCATTGTTAAGGTTTAAGGCCATGTTTGGGTTAGCCAGTGAGGTTATTGGTCTTAGATATTGTTAATGAAAAAAATTCTTACCTTGGTTCTGATGATAGTTCCATCAGCAAGATGAATGAGTTTAGTGAAGCCAGATTCTTCAATAGCTACCACCTTTGAAGAGTACCTAATGGTGCCACTTGGAAGCTCATTGGCGAGCACTTCCAATAGTAATTGCCTTCTAACACGACGAACTTCATGAACCCCACTGCACCATGTAAAAATTCTGTCAGCAATCCAATTTGAATCCTTAGTAGCAATCATCATCCCTTTAAGAAAAAATGTGCCTAAAGAAGACTTGGTAGTATAAGATACCAAGTTCCTTATTGAATAGTATTAGATGCTCAATAGAATATTTAAGTGGATTAGTTCTTCTATCATAATAGTTAGCTTTTGGTGAAGAATTCTCCATCCCACTTAGGTACCCAATAATGGCACAAATTTGTGGATGTGTGTATTTTAGGTATACTCTTTCGTTATCCACTTGTCATTTATTGCAGATTTTATTTTTCTATATTCAAATGGTGAACTTATTTGTTAAATGCAGAGGATCTAGAACCCTTGATTATTGTAGCAAGATCAAGCGTTCCAAGCCAAAAATGGAATAATAGTAAATATGAAATAGCTAAGTTAGTTTAAATCTCAATTCAAACATATGACCTTTCCTTGTACTGAAATTTTCTTTGTACGTAAACTAACTAATAAGCCTTGGCTGATCAATTAACCGTAGCCATGTCCTTCTTATGTGTGCAGGTCATGCTAATGATCAAGTTATATAGAATCAAACTTGGTCTTTAATTAATATTGAGATAAATTTCATGTAATAATATTGTAAAAATGTGTTATATTGCATATGACTCTAAAAATGTGCTTCATATATCATTACAATAGAAACTTCAAATGAATGAAATTCTAGAGAAATACAATAAATTTGCATTTATACTGACTTTGTTTATATATATATAATATGATAATGATGATAATAAAGTGAAGAGAGTGTTCATTTACAAATTGATCAACTTACTGTTTTCCTGTGGCGTTGACAAAAGCCGTTGTTGATGTTTGTTGCCCAGTAATCAAAGAAGTAGTGACATTTCTGCACTCCAATCCCAAAATGTTTAGTTTCATGTGCTCTTAATCACTACCAGCAAAAAATTTCATTTCTTAATTATAATTCACCAGCTAACTTCTTTAATTTCTTTGACTGAGCAAAATTAACAATGAAAAAAAAAAGTTTTATGTTTTTAAACAAACGACACATGTATTGTTGAATAAGCAGAGATTCTAGAAGATATTATGAGTTTACATTAATCATAAGAGGATACTCTGTTTCTTCATTGATTAATCTTGATTGATCTGATGGATTTAAGTACAATATTGTTGACTTTTGAACCAATGTCTCACCCAATTAGAAGAATGTCTAGTTTTTTAAAACTTTGGTTTCTTTTCTAAAGACATGTCATTATTGTTGGGATGTCAAGTATGAGTTGGCATGACTGGGAGGAAAGTTCCACATCAATTATAACAAGGTTGAGGAAGAAGCATATAAATGGAAAATACTAATAAACTCAATGTGGTAAGGTTTTGATTCAGAGTGTGGTGTTATACTCACTTATGTTTCCTTATAAATAGGAGAGAAAAAAACTATAAACTCAACATATTATACTCACTTATATATATCTTCTTAGAACTATTGTAACATATATAACTAAAACCATTATTCTTAGGCTTGAGAGACTAGTATTACCCAAGAAGCTGGAGGTGTTCTTGGCGAAGTATGTGACCAATGCCAAGAACATCTAAGGCTTTCCAAGCGTTAGTCCATATTGAGAGGGCAAATCCTGAGGTCCTCAAAGTATTTGAAGATTCTAAAACCAAACTTCGGACGCCTAGCCTGCAAGTTTATATTAATATAAAAGCTAGCTTTTGTCATCAAAATTAAAATATTTATAAAAAAATTAAAATTGAATTATATAGACATTTCACGGATTTTACTAAAATTTACATTGATTTTGGAAGTAATATAAACTTCCAATTTTTGTAAAATTTACCCAAGTTTTTTTTTTTAAAATACTAAAACATATACAAATCTCATCTCATTTATAATAAATTTGACATTACGATTGTTTTACTCTTTCAAATTATAATTTTTTTATTTAAAAAATCGACCCACACTTTTTAAGAGTGGAGGTTGATATGTGGAATTTAAAAAAAAAAAAATTCATGCACTTTACCCATTATCGTTTTAAAAGTATTACGTTAATGCTAAAAGTAGGGGGGGAAAAATATTTGCATAATTTTGACAAAATTCAAGAAATTTTCTTGTAATTTAATTATTTTTCATTTTTAAAAGGAACAATGATAAAGATGTCTCAAAATAATCAATTAATACAAGTTAAGTCCTAAATGTCAAATTTTAAGAATTTACAAGTCAATTTTTCAACTTTATAATTTCGTTGTGATAAATTTATAAGTTATATTTTAAATTTAATAGGAAAAATAATTTTTTTATTCTTCAACTATGTTAAAATTTTAAAAATAAATTATAAATTCATCACAATACAATTATAAAATTAAAAGATTGAATTGTACATTTTTAAAGTTTGATACTTGATAGCTAAATTAAATTAATTAATTATTTTAGACATCTTTGTCATCTTTCCTTTTTAAAATAGGGATGCCTGAGAATGAAAATTAACCTTATTCACTATGCTCTGTCCCCTGAACCTTGGTTATCTCTGCAATATATTTTTTATGCAGTGAATTTGAAATTTAATGGTTTAGTTACAGATACACTAAACCCAAAATATATATATATATATATATATATATTCATGACACTCATATACCCTTCCTCACTCAAGATCACAGGAAGTTAATGATATACTCACTTACTATTTTTAATTTGAAAGATAATAAGAACAGAAACTCTGAAAAAAAAAAAAAAGTTTCTGATATTTGGGCATTTAATTCAAATTCAGAGACATGAAAACACAAATAAGAGATGAGGGAGGTTACCTGTGAAGTCCCAAGGAGGTAGCGAGGCCAGCAATCCCAGCTCCCACAATCACGATATCTTCAACTCTTGATTCCATCTTTCTTGGCTCTCTCTCTCTCTCTCTCTCTCTCTCTATCTTAACTTTTACTTCAGTTGAGTGAGACTATTCTGTCTGCTTCCTGACTGCAAGGTTGTGAATTAAACCTAATTGGACTGCGATTGATGAGTGTGACTGTGTGTGTACATACATAGGGCTCGAGAAGACACGAAATGATGAGATGAGTTGAAGGAAGAAGACGTAAGCGATGACGATGACCACGGTGGCGCGTTTGGATTCAGTGCTCTCACTTGATAGGTCTCTGCACTGCTCAATTTTTTTATTTTTAAATTTTATTTTTTATTTTTTATTTTATACTTATTATAAAAAATTATAAATCTTAATAAATTTAACTTACCATCAACATAGACAATAAAAATTTAATATAAATAATTTAATTTAATAGTAAATTTTTTATAATTTTTATAAATTAATTGTTTAAATATATTTTATTAAGTCTGTGTTTAATTTTTATAAATTTTATTCTAGTTATTATAATATAAAAAATTAAAGTTAAAGATAATTTTTAAACTATCTCTCTAAGAAATCAAAAAATATAATTTAAAAATTTTAAATATAGAATGTATACAGTACATGTAGATAGTTAAAATATAAAAAATATTTAATATTAAATTAAATAATTTAAATTAAATTGAATTGTTTAGATGGATAATATAATGGATTTATTAAAATTATAATTTAATAAATATAACAAAATATATAAATATAAAACAAGTAAATCGGACGGTCAAAATTTCTCATCAGCTTGATAACTGATAAGCATGGAAATGGGACGCGATGACGGCGACACCGGGAGAGCGCAACAATTTAAGAAACAGCTTCTGTGGTGAGGAAGGTCTATACGTTTGCCTTTGCAATATCACTACAACATTTTTGTCGGATTGAAAAGTACTGGCGATGCTTTTTATGCACCCATTTCCTTAATGGAAAATCACTCTGAGGTATTATATATGAATTTTAATTCTAAAGAATCCCATGGAATGCATGAATAGTCTTAAGTTCTATGGATTTTAATTGTAAATTAATTTTGGTGTACATTTATCAAAACATCTTCCTTACAAAAAATTTTAAAATTTCATCTTCTTATGGTTATCGACATTGGATGCGGAAGACTGGAGCTCCACTGATAGTCACCAAAGCTGTTGCCAAAGCTCCAAATTCATGACCCATGTCTGTTACATTTTTTCATGTATTTTGATTTTCTGTATTAAGACATCTTATCTTATCATTAATATCAATATTAATATCATCATCAATATATAAATCTTGTAAAATCTAATTGATAAAAAAATTGTCTCTTATTAATTAATAGATTTTAGGCTAGTCTTAATATAAACATTTTTCTTGATTCATTAATAAAATTTAATTTATATATTTTTTTATATATTTTCAGTCTACTTTCACATAAGCATTTAATGAAATTTGATTTATTTTCTTATTTGTTATATATTTTTAATTTATTTTTATAGGAGCATTGATTTAAAAGCAGTCCCATTTTTTTAAAAAAAAAATTGACTCTTATTAGTTAATAGATTTTAGGCTAATATTAATATGAAAATTTCTCTTAATTCATTAATGAGATTTAATTTATTTTTTTATTTTTCATGTATTTTCAATCTATTTTCACAAAAACATTGCTTCAAAAGCAATCTCATTTTCAAATTTCCTTAATTGTTAGCATTAACTTCACCCGACTATCCTTCTTCATTCACTATACTTTTTCATATCTTTTCAATTTTTCTGATCAATGAGATTTAATTTATTTTTCATGTTCCATGTATTTTTAATCTATTTTCACAGGAGCATTAATTCAAGAGTAGTTCCATTTTTAAGTTTTTATTATCGTTAGCATTAACTCCATCTAACTATTCTTCTACATTCGTTGTACTTTCCATGCCTTTTCAATTTTTTTGAGATTTAATTTCTTTTTCCTATCTTCGATGTAATTTTTTGATTTGTTATACTCAATATCAATTAACTTTCATCAACTATCATCCATAAACATCATCTATAAAAAGAAAATAAAAAGAAGTTTAAATTTGATTTGAATCATCAATCCTTATTTTATAATTTTAGTCCTTTAAACTGTAGATGTTTAACCATACATTCGTCTCTAACAAGATAACGCAATGACTATTTAAATGCTCTAAACAGGCAAAACTCAAGTGGTAGATATATCTTTTCTGTAGCCCTTTTGTTTTGCACATAAAAAAAAACAAAAGAAGAATAAGAACCACAAGCAATATCTAATAACGACACGTGTCCCTAATTATATTTTTTTACTTATTTTTTTTTTTTTATTTTAAAAAATAGAAAAAACTACCACCCTCAACTATCTTCTCATTATCTCAACTTTCTAAAAAAGTATAATCGCAAGCAGTTTCTAATGAAGACCCATGTTCTTGATTTTGTTTTACTCTATTTTTAAATTTTTTTAAATAAATAAAAACTATCTTACCTTCAAACATCACCTCATTATCTTAACTTTTTAAAAATGGTAGGGCTGCAAACAATATTTGATGATGACACATAACCTTAACTCCATTTTACTTTATTTATTTTTTAATTTTAAACTTTTAAAATAGGTACAACCACCTTATCTCCAAATAATAATTTAAAAATATAATTTCCAATAATAAATAAAATTCAAAATTCTAATGTTAAAATTAATGAAAAAATTATCAAAACTTTTCATTAACTTGTTTATTTACACTTGCAAGATTCTAAATTTAAAAATAATAAGGAAATTATATGCTGCAAACAGCAACTAACAATGCCATTAATTTTAATTTTCTTTATTCATTTTCCAATTTTAAAAAATAAATAAAATTACTTCACTGTTTAAATATCTCTACATTATTCCAACTTCTCATTAATTTATTTATTTATAATTTCAAATTTTTAATTAAAAAATAATAACAAAAGTATGCACCCAAGCAGTATTTGATGACAATGACACATGTCCCAAATTCTATTTTGTTTTGTTTATTTTTTAATTCTTAAAAATAAATAAAACTATCTTATTCCAAATATCTTCCCACTATTTAAACTTTTCATTAACAGTACTCATAACTTGACATTTAATTTAAAATAAAAAATTAAATTCATATTTTCGATTGTATAAAAAATTAAAATTTAAAATTTTAATTTAAAAATAATAAGTAAAATATTTGTATTCAATTTTAAAAAAATGGAAAAGAAATCCAAAACTCTAGAAAAGTGAACAACTAAAATCTGAACCAAAAATTTTTTGGTAACCCACCCCATGTCTTCACCCCACTATATTTTCTTCACTTTTCCCACCTCACTATAATTCAAATTCAAAGTTAAATCTTGCAATTCCTAAAACTATTTTTCCATTGTAGCTTTTGTGTTCACATTTCTTCTCCCCTTTTTCTAGAATGCTCAGTCACATTTACGTAAAATCCTGCAAAATTTTTAAGTTTATCATAATTGTTCTAGATTGTTTCGACAATGATAAGGAATAATCTAAATAAAAATCCTATAATAAAAGCTCTAGATCTACTTGAACCCTAATAGTAAGCTCTATTCTTCTGTCTAGTAATATCTTATTTTTTATTCATTATAACCAAGCCATTTTGATTAAATACATTATAATATTCTTCTCTTTTGTATATTTCTATTGCTAAATTATTGTGATTATTTTATTTTCAAAACAAGCGTGAGGAAATTAGGTGATACCCTTTTTGTTTTTGATATTAAATGTCATTTAATCACAATTTTTTATTATATGTGCAGTAAAAAGAATATAATGTTTTGAAGAAAATGTATTTTTAAATGTTTTAAATTGTGTGGGTGTAATTTGATTTTGGATGACATTTGACACCTCTCACCATAGTATATAATTTTAGATATATTAATTAATCAATTCTCATGCTCTTAATTGTTTGATGTATTATAAGAAGTAAAGTCAATATTAAAAGTAAAATAATAACTTAGTATGTAACACATAAAAATAGTTGAATGTATTTAAATTAGTAAAGATTCTAGATTTTTAAATTATTTTTTTTACAATTGCGATCTTTTGTAATTTATATTCATTCCTTTTTATAGCAAGTTCTTTTTAAAACAAATAAAATATAATAATCAATCAGAAAATTTGGTGAAAATAAATCGATCTGAAATCAATTTTTGGTGTAAATTAATTTGAACCATTTTCAACTTTTTTAAATCAATACAAGATTAATTATTGGCTTATCATTTTCAAACTTATTTTAAATATTTCTTTAAATTTAATTAATCTTAACTATATCATAATTACAATTACAAAAAGTATACAAAAAAATATCATGTGTGTCAAAAAAATTTTATTTAAAAGTTAATAAGAAACATTATTGTGATATTTATAAATTTTAGTTCAAAATTAGCTTGTCCTTTGTAAGTGTCCATAGCTAGCAGTAAAAAATTTATTTTCACCAAATAACATCTTATATCCTGAATAATTATTAACTATTATTATTTATTTAAATTTTTTTATTTTTTCACGCTCCGTGCATCACACGAGCCACATACTAGTTAAAAAAAAGAGGGATCCCTTTGTATTCTTTCTTATATATATATATATATATATATTTATGAAAATACAATTTATGTCATAATTCATGACCTGGTATCTAATTTTTTTATGTAATAAAAAACAAGAGGTTATTGAGAATTTTGAAGAAGTATTTTTTTGGGCCAATATTTTCCAAGCACTTTAAGAACATGTATTTTCTAGACTGATTTTTCACTATAAACTCAAGAAATAAAAATAATATGTGTACAAATAAAATAACCAAGAACAAAAATAATTAAATAGAGGAACTTCTAAAAATTTAGCTATATCAAATGTGTCAATATCAATAGTATTGATAATATTTATTTTAAAGTTTTTAATTCTAACTTGCGCAACACGTGGGAATCTATCTAGTTTTAATAAAGTTATGTGAAAAATTAATTATAATTAAATTTTATGAGATTTTAGAGTTATTTGTGCATGTATAAGAGCATTATGTGTTTCTCCCTTTTCTTAAATTTATCGAGTATTTTAATGTTGCCTATTTAAAAATCAGGTTAATGTGCAATTTAAACTCTCAACTATAGGTCCAAGGTTGATTTAAAACTTTAAATTTTTAAAAGATGCATTATGAACCCTAACCAATTAAAGTTGT